TTGTTTTTTTTTTCTTTTTTTTTTTTTTTTTTTTTTTTTTTTTTTTTTTTTTTTTTTGAGAGAGAGAGAGAATTTTGCAATAGGGTGATGCACTCACTAGAGAGACAGAGACAGAAAGGAAAAAAATCATCCCCCCCAGGGAAGATGACCATGCTGCAATTATTTCTCCTCCATTCTCCTCTTGGGATTTTTAGGCATGTATGCACACATGCCAGGTGTGGATTTTAAGCTGCCAGGTCCAGGATTTGAACCATAGTTTACTATGTGGGAGTCCAGTGATCTAACCATTATGCCATCTGCTGGTTCCTCCAAAATTTAGTTTTCTAAACCCTGCTCCATTGTGCTGGCAGGGGAGAAGTCAAGTACATTCTTAGAAACAATACCAGATTATTCTGATGCAGAAGGTACTTGGTCTCTGCTTTGAGAAGCACTGGCAGTATCTAAAAGTTCAGATTTTTAGTCATAGAGCTCTGCTGCTTAATAGCGCTGCCACTCTCTGATTTCAAGTGTCTTTTTAAATTCTTTATTTGTGACAAGAGGGTATATGTGTACAAGTGAAAGAGAGAAAAGGAGAGGTGAGCACCCTTCACCCTCCACACAGTCTGGTCACACCATGGTCCCTTCTTCAGTGCATCAGCTCCTGGGCACTCATGCACGCATATGCCTGGTGTATTTCAGGCTGAGCAGGCCCAATATTCGAACCACTGTCACCACGTGGGATTCAGCTTCTCTTGAGCAGACAGTACCATTGCCCCCAAGCAGCTGACCCAGATTTTAAGCATCCTTTAGTCTCAGTTCCCTCATCTTTATAATTTGGGGATCATTATAAGAATTAATGAGATAGTTTCTGGCAAATAGTAAATTAGATGATCTTAACTTAGAATCAAAGAACTTGGGGTAATTGACAGGAGGATCCCACACTGAAACTGTATTCAGATGTGCTCTGCTCATAGTGATCTCTAAGTAGTTGGGCCCCCCCAAAAGGCCAGAACCCGTTCTAATAAGGGCTTGAACACTGGTGCTGTTCTGGGGCATATAGGGACATTGTACTCCCATTTTGTGGGCATTAAGTCATCAGGTTTCCTGCACCCCTACTGAATGTGAATGTAGACCATAGAGTGTCCCCACCTCCACTATTGGTCATGCTTCCCTCGGGTAAAGAGAATTGACAAACCTTGGAAGAAGATGTGGAGCAGAAGTCTTCTGAGACTATATACTGTGGTCAAGTTGAGTTTGCAACTCAAAAGGGCATAACTTGCAGGAAGATTTGTGTAGACGTGTGTGCTACCTGGATCTGATGATCCCTGTTGTTCAGTAATTCAGTCTCAGATAAGCTCTTTGAATATGACCTCCTCTTTGTCAGTTTGGGCTGTTATGACAAATTATCACACTGGGTAGCTTAAGCAATCAATATTTATCCCACACACATCTGGAGGATGAAGTCTGGGCTCAGGCTGCCAGCATGGTCAGGTTCCAGTGAAGGCCCTCTTCTGGGATGCAGACTGCCAGCTTCTCCTTGTATCCTCACTGGCAGACAGCACAGTCAGCTTGCTAGCGTCTCTCATAAAGGCATTACTCCCATTCATGAACCCAAAACTTGTCTTACTTAGTCCATTCCATTATGATGAAAGATTAACGGGACAGTAGGTAAGAAAGATATTTCTAGAGGCTACACTGTAAAAAAGAGGTCCTCAGAAAAGTTCATTTAACTAGCTAATAATCTATACTTCCTTGGAGTGACCTGTTATTCTCCAAGTCTGATCCTAGGGTTAACAGAATCAGCGAATTCCAGGGTCCTAACTAACCCAAACTAATCAAATCATTTTCTCTGGGTGTGAGGTCTAGCAAAGTGTTTCAACGAGATTCTAATGCATGCTGAAGTTGGAGACCTATCGCCTAGAGGTACAGTCTCAGGGCAGGAGATACTAAAAGGCAATTTGCTGCATGCATCTTGCCGGTTCTTCCCTTCTCTTGTCCTCACCCAACCCATCCAGGGTTGCTGTGAATTCTTAAAGGAAAATAGTGTTTATACTACATTTTGTGCAAATCTAATGTTGGCTACAAAATCTCACAAAGAGGAAACCGTATTTCGGTGATCTAAGAGTATAGTCTGTGGAGTCTGGTTCTCTGTTTAAATACTGGCTCCACTCCTTACCAGCTGTTCCTCATCTTCTTTCTGCTTCTTCCACTTGTAAAATGATAGCTAAGAGTATGGTAACCTTATCAGGTCATTGAAATAACTAAATGTACAGTGCAAAGTATGTACATGATTCCTAAATGGTTCATGACTCTGCACATTATTCTGTTAAAATGAAGTTTCTTTCCCAGGTTATATTTAGTACAAACATCAAGATGAGGACTGCTTCAACTGACTAATTTTAAGGATCATATGGACAGTGTCATATGATGTTATAGGGAGGCAAGGAGAAAAAGTTACTGAATTCACATGCTGCCATTTTATTCTCCTTGTCAAAGGATTAATGAAGTAGTGTTTCCAGAATAGAATGCACTTAAGACTTAACTCTGTAATGAAGAATTCTGTAACCTGGACAGAATTCTGTAATCTAGACAGGTGTTGCACACCCTGTCCAACCACCATACTCTTAAGCCTAGCTTAAGACCCCAGTAGGAATAAAGTGGGAGAACAACTTAGGACCAAAATAACTGGCTCAGTACTTGAAGCAAATATATTTATACAGTTTTCTTTCTGTTTTTGCTATAAGGTTCATGTGATAACAAGAGAGGGACAGGAAGGGAGGGAGGGGAAGAGAGAGAGAGAAAGACAGAGAGAGAGAGATCACCTCCCAGGGGAAATGGCCATGCCACAATCCCTTCTTCATTCTCCTCTAGGGATTTGGGGCATGCACATACACCCAGCATGATCTTCAAGACACCAGGTCTGGGACTTGATCCATGGAAATCAGCCATATGGATCCAGTGCCTTAACCTCTATGCCACCTGCTGGCTCTATACATCCATTTTTAATAGCTGTTCTATATATGAAAAGTGCTCGGTAAACTAACAAGTGCTATTCAACAGAAGTTTCATCACTGGTAGTTAAAAATATTTATTCAAATTTGATCAGAGGAGGACAGAGAGAAAGAGAAAGAGAGAGAGAGCACGCGAGCAAGCAAAAGCAAACCACCAGGTCCAGGACGAGAACCGTGGTCGTCCATGTGGGAGTCTAGAGCCCTTAAACACCATGCCACCTGCAAACCCAATATTACCAGCATTTCCTAACTTCAAAGAAAACATAAATTTACTTTGCAATAGGTGCCCAATTGCCAAATAGAACAGAGTTGGAAGTGTTGACACACTTGTTTTTATCTTAAAATAAAAACACAACGTCAAAAAAAAGTATCTAAATCTGTGATTTAACAGTGGAAAGTCATTCTCTTTGGTATGTGTTATAGCTGTGATACCACTTACCCTCAGGATTATCAAAGGGGGTTAGTCAGATCGATCATTTAAAAAACTAGTAAGTGGAGAAAATATTTGTTTACATAGGCTCCACAAAAAATATCTGCTGTTGTGCCTGCCATGCTAGAAATACAAAGACTACTACTTTCTTCCTCCTTTCTTTTGAGCTGGTTTTAGAGGGCTGGAGGTTCTGAGAATTTTCTTTCTCAACTCGCCAGTCAGTCACATTAATTGGTGCACAGACACAGGAGAAAATCTCTCTGACCACATATCAACGTCCACACTTGGAATTAAAAAAAGAGCCATAAACACAGAATTTTAAAGTTTACTTTAAAAATGTAAATTATCTCCCAATATTTAACAGGTAAAGAAAATAGCATATTGGTTTATTTTATGTGGTTGTTATATTTTATTTTCCAAGTAATACTGATTAAAAATATTTACACACCTACTTTTAAGTCCACAGTTTAGCACTCGTATTTGTATGGCTTTAAAAGTTATAGCACAAGATCTTTATGTTAAGGTTCAGGGGAAAAAGATTCATTCAAAACAAAGCCTGATATATTATATACATGTTTGTCTCTGTACTTTAAATACATTAATTTTTAAATGATGCTTACCTTTTTTTCATCTGGTGGTAAAATACTAGTGCAACTTTTTATCAAAATAAAGTTTACCACAGATGTAAATAAATTTTCCCAATTGAAAATGGCCCTTCAGCTGCCATTAAATGAAATTTCTCAACCTCACTTTAAAAAGAATTGGTGGTTGCATTATAAACAAAAATATGAAGTACTACAGCATCGCCTACGTTGCTGCTTACATCAACTTTGAGAGAACCAAAGATGCTTTATAGAAGTTTAATTGGTTTTGAAAAGGCACATGGTGTGGAGCTATTTTGTTTTTGTTTTTTTACATTCTGTAAATTGTCACCACCACCACTCTTTCTGTTGTAGAGATGGCAACTGTGACTACTGGGGTAGACAAGAATGTTGTTCAAACTAAAGGAAGCCAGAAGCCAAAATTTAACTGCACAGTAACAATGCACTTTTCTTCATGCAGCTTGTTTCCTATATATTCAATTTTCTAACATGCATTAGAATACATAAGCTTGTATTCTAATGATTTTATGTTTGATTTTACAATATGAAAAAAGTTTGAGGAAAGACGTGACTTGGGGAAAAGGGAGAACCCTCACCACAATGAAAATAGATACATCCGTACCCAACTATATAGTAAGAATATAATCCATTTAAGTTTCCAGAAATATACTTCTCAAAGCTCCCCATTCCTGCACGGGGCGGGTGATGCTCTTCTGTGGCATTAAGTGGGGAGAAAGGAAATCAGTTTATTTTCATAGAAACAGTTCAGCACAACAGGAAACAGTTAACTTTGGTCCACTTGTCTGTTAGCTTTAGGACAGTCACACTGCCCATTATCAGTTCGAAACCCAACATGTAAATTTAAAAATATATTCATTTGTTATTTCATTCTAAAACTGACATAGGTGTTCTGTCCTCATTCCCTTCCTTTTCATCTGCTTGGGAATCCACTGTTGGTTTGGTCTCTAAACCCTCAGCATCTTCGTGCTCTTCCCTGGCAGCCTCAGCCGTGTGTGCTTGGCTAGGTTGTCTTTCCTCTTGGTTCATGATTTCAGGAGTCACATGATCCAAGTCTGCTTCTAGAAGCTCAGTTTGTACTTCCATTGGCATCTGGTTTACCCGTTCCACATGCAGCTCTTCTACATGCACTTCAGTACCCTCTTCAGTCTGAATTCGACCCACCTCTAGGTAACTCACTTGGACCTGCTCTGGAAGCTCACTTATATGTGAATCGTGCACTTGGCTATCCTGGAGCAGATCTGGGTGAACTTGTTCCACAGTCACTTGTGCTGAGTCCACCTGAACCTGAAGCAATGGCAGCACATGCACCTTTCCAACTTGTTCTATGATCGTCATTGACGTCACAGGTTCAGTTTGGACATGCGTTTCTACTGAAAGAACTTCTTCGGTTACCAGACGTTCTGAAATATTGTGAGTATCACTGAGATGCCTCCTTAATTCATTTCCTTGCATAAACCACAAGTCACATAAAGTACAATGGTTGGGTTTATCTCCAGTGTGTATTACCAAGTGATCTTTGAACTGGTCCCAGCTGTTAAACACACTGTTACAGACCTGAAATAACCAAATATATGATGGTTAACACTTACGTTCAAACTGAAGGAAATATTAATTCATTTACTCTGTAAAAATAAAATTATTCTGAAAACGTTATGATTATGGTATCTGCAATACAATGTAGTCTAAAACATTTTGTAATTCTTTGGTTCAGTTGGTCTTTAGCTGATATAGTTAGCATCTCAAATAGATTTGCGGAAACACTTTAATACTGCCTTCACTGTTTAAGCATCACATAAATTCTAGGAATACAAAAATTCTAATTTCTCCTACAATATCAACATTTAGAATCATAGTAATATTTGGTATAAAAATACACTAATCAGTGCCAGTCAGCAACATGGTGGTTAAGGCAGCTAAATCCCACATGGCCAACTCTACAGTTGAGTCTTGGACCCAGTGGCTTGAAAAACACACTAGGCATGTGTACATGTCCAAAATCCCAAGAGAATGAAAGAAAAGGGATTGCAGTGTGGCCATTCCTCCCACCACAACAGGGTGCTTTCTCACTTTCCCTCTATTTTTGTCTTTCTCCGGAACACCTGTCCCCTTAGCAAATTAAAAACAAACAAACACGCATCACTAATCACAGAAGAACCAATTATAGCTGGTCTGCCTCCTCAGCCCACTCCTGAATTCTAATGACTTCTCTACAGTTAATAACCACAGTTTCAGAGTATTGTTTAAAAGATCATTTTTATTGATAGAGTAAAAATAAATGGTGTCATTTGAAGTTGAATTACAAAAAAAATTCCAGTCCCTCTTAAAAAAAATCAAGACAACAATGTTCTTTTATCTCATTTCTTCCCAAACCATCAATTAGCTTTATACCTTTCAATGAGACTCTGTTACCCTTCATTTATTAAAAATTTTTTGCTATTGGGTACACATGCTCACCAGAGAGACAGAAACAAGAAAGAAAGAGAAAGTAAAAAATCACCCTCCAGGGTGATGGCCATGTCACAATTCCTTCTCCATTCTCCTCTCGGGATTTTGGATATACATGCATTTGTGCCCAGTGGGATATTCAAGCCACCAGGTCCAGGACTTGAACTACACTGTTGGCTATGTGGGATCCAGCACCTTAACCTCCACACTACCTGCTAGCCCCTATTTAATTTTTATATAATGGGCCACTGCACACAAAAGGGAGAAGGTTCCCAATGAGACCTGGTCATGCCACAATGCTTTTTTCTCCAATTCTCCGACTCAACGGGATGCTGGGCACTCACCTGGTGTGTTTTTCAAGCCACCAAGGTCAATACTAAAACCCTGGTTGGCCATGTGGGATCTGGCTCCCTTGTGCAGCACTGAATTGCTGTACTACAGGGCTAGCCCTACTCTTCACTTGTAATGACTGCATAAAGGTGACTGTTAAGGACAGAATACACACACACACACACATACCTGGCATTCATAAAGCTTCTTTCTTCCCTTTTTTGCCCCCACTCCAGTTTGACATGCAGTGAGGTGACATTTGAGAGTGCTGTTTCTAGCAAATCGTTCATGACAATTTGGACATTCAAAAGGTTTTTCACCTATTAGAAAAAAAATAAGTTGGCAAAGTAAGAAAAACAGCAAAAGCAAAGAATTGTATAAGTCTACTTTGCTTCTTCCTTTTGGTTAATTTTAATGGCATGTTCTTGAGAGGTGGAACAGTAACTTAAAATTCAAATGGTCTCACCATATCCAAAGATTTTTCTAGAAGTGCAATATATAAGATTTAGTGACTATAAATTGTTAACTGTCCTCTGATAAAGGTAAGAAATAAAATTTGGATTTGAGTTCTTTTTTGCATTTCTTAAAATTATGTATTTTTCCCTTAGATAAAAATTATGATCAATCTGTATTTTGGGAAAATCCACCACTACCCTTCCTACAAGGCATTTTTTGCACATTTGCTGTGTGCTAGCTACCTGTTAGATTATAAAGATAAGTAAGCTGTCCTGATTTTCAACAACTGCATATCAAAGGCCAAGGTATGAAGGTGAAACACATGAAAATAAGCAAATGCGATACACCGCTGAAGACTTGTTAGAAAAGAGTGCCATGGAAAGTGTACTGCAGCAGCAGCAGCAGCAAGGAGAGGGTAATCCTGTCTGCAAGGGAACGAGGATGAAAGAAGTGAATAGGCAGAGGGACAGAAGTGTAAAATAGCATGGAGGAGTAAGGAGGGAGGAATCAGTAACCCTCTGCACCTGCAGGTTCCAGGCCTCAGATTCCAACAACTGTAGATGCAGGCCATGACAATTGTTATGAAATGAGAAAAGAGGTATCTCCCAAAAAGAGAGATGTTGAAGTAGTTCACCTATGTATTTTCCTTTTCACTTACGTCTGACACTAAGATTACTCATAAGTAATCTAGAGATGATTTAAAGTATGGGGGATGTTTAGAAGTTCTATGTAAACACTATGCCATTTTATATAAAGGACTAGCACGTCCATGGATTTTGGTATCTAAAGGGGACTGCATCCTGGAACCAATCCCCTTAGAATACTGAAGGGTAACTGTAATGACACCTGGGTCTCTGGTGTAGAGGACCAACCAGGATAAAGGACACAGGAGTACAAGTATGGTTGAAGTGGGATATGGTAGGAACGATAATAAAATCAGTTTTTGTGTCTGATGAGTTCTAAGTACTCAGAGCAAAGTCTAGGCATCCAGAAAATAGTTGCACAGACAATTCCGGATCCACAGCATGGTCTGACATAAACTTTAGGAGTTAAAGTGGTAATTAAAAAATAAATAAATAAAACTTGAGTTTGAATAAAATTTCTGAGTTTATTGTGTGATTGTACTGGGTCATCATGAAAAGTCATAGTAAAATCTGTCATGACTTTTCTGATGATCTAATAGTACAGAATGCAGTGAAACACCAAATTAAAACAGCAAATAACATGAGCTAGTAAAGAAAATAGAAATGGAGTAGCCAGAAGTAGAAGGAAGGAAAACTAAGAGAAATTAAAGCAGTCAGTGGTAGAGTGGGTTTAGGAGCCTTACTCTATCGTGGCACGAGGAAGTACAAGAGGCGCCTCAATGAACACAGTATGTAAATTCTTTCAAGAAGGCCCAAAAGTAAAGAGGTGGCTAGAGGGAAGAAAGTCAATAAGGGATTTTTTTTTTTTTTCATTATTCGTTTGCTGAGGGGAAAGGAAGGAGTGGGAATGACAGATGAAACACAGTCTTGGAAGAGACATCAAGGTCCACGTGGGACTCAGGACTGACCCTGAAGAAGAGAAGAGAAAGCTCTTTCTAGGAAATAAATAGGAGGAAACAAAGATGGATGCCACTGTCGGTAAGTTGGGGACAGAAAGACAGTTATCTGCTGGAGATGGGGAGTGGGCAGAGGTCTCAAGTATGATGAAGATCTAGAATAGCAACTGGGCGGGTGTGGGGTGTGTGTGTGGATATAAATCAGACCAAAACACTTAACTTAAGATCTGGAACATTGATTTTCTCCATCAGTGTTCAACAACCAGGGACTAAAAATAACTCTAAACAAGGAAACATGCTTAAGGTACAAGAAAAGGTGACTCAAGTTGTATACAGTGAGGTCTGTACAAGATAGAGAAGTCAGAAATGGGGCAATAAACTAGGTGGAAAGGTATATGGAAGGACTGGAAGGCTAAATGGGGGAAGAGTACACGAGTAGTCAAATAAAGAATGAGAGAATTCAAGGACAGGATGATGTCTGTTGAGAACAGGACAAAGATTTCCAAGATAGAGTCCCAGTGAGGACAGGGTCCCATATGTGACCCTCCCCCACACATGTTAATAGAACGAAACAGGTAAATTTAAACTGTATTTGTCCTCTGACAAAACTAATATAGCTTATTTTGTGCAGTGTTCATGTGATGAAAACATTAATTTGAAAGAGAAGGCCTATATCATCGAGAATTAGTATTGATACAGAAACTCCTTTTCTACTCCAAAAATGTTAGGCGATGTTGCTAAAGCACATGGTTACATTTTTGGTTTCATTAGCATATAATTTTTCTTTAATAATGAAACTTACAAACATAAATAGATATGGCCTCATTGAAGGGCAAGTGGTAATATTTCCTCAGATTTAAATCACACTTGTTCTTTGAGCTAGCAAGTTGCTTTAAAATTAAATTACTTCAACATGTACACAGATATCTATCTGTCTATATAGCTATCTATCTGAAAAGATGCTCACTGCAATATAATTGGTAATAGCAAAACCCTAGCAACAACCTAAATGACTATCAACAAGAATAGTTACAGGACCAATAGATGGCATAACAGTTATTTTGCTGGACTCCCACATAGTTGACCAAGGTTTGAGTCCTGGACCTGGCAACTTAAAACACACTGGGCACATGTGCATGTGTGCCCAGGATCCCAAGAGGAGAATGGAGGAGAAGGGATTGTGGCATGGTCACCCCCCTATACCCCCTGGGGATGATTTCTCACTTTCTGTCTCTGTCTGTCTCTCCAGTGACCACATGCACCCTATAGCAAAAATCTCTCCTAAAAAAAAAAAAAAAAAAGAGTAGTTATGGCATACCCATACAATAAAATACTGTGCAGCCACAGTAATAGAAATAAATAACATTCATGAATGTTACACATATTTTTAAAACTTTGAAATAAATTAAATGGCCTAACACTGTACCACCACATGTTCCTGTTTGTTTTCAAAAAAACCTTTGCATTTACATGTGTGTGCATGCATGCGTACAGCTACTGGAAAATGCAAGGAATACATCAGGAATGATAAGTATGTAAGAAAATGATAACAGTACAGTTGGTCCTCCATATCCATGGTTTCCACATCTGTAGATTCAATCGACCTTCAATGAAAAATAGTTGAGGAAAAATAGTAACAATAGAAAATAATAATATAGGGCTAGGCTGTGGTATGGAGGTTATGACAGCTGGATCCTGGACGGCTGACTGTGCAGTTTGAGCCCTGGACCTGTGGCTTAAGAAACACACTGGGTGCGTGTGCAAATATACCCAAAATCCCAGAAGGAGGAAGAAAAAGAGAAGAGGTGGTTGGGGCATGACCATCCATCATGAAGGTGCGTGAGCTCTCTCTCGTAAGTATATATGCCCTCTGGTAAAATTTTTTTAAAAAGATAATAAAAACGTATATAAAAACCCAATACTACTATTTACACAGTGTTTATACTAGGAATTTTAAGTAATTAGAAATGATTTAAAGAATACGGAAGGATATGTGTAGATGACATGTAAATACTATGCCATCTTATTTTTTTTTTAGTTGTTTTTTTTTTTTTTTTTTTGCCATATAGCACATACACCTGCAGGAAAGAGACAGAAAGTGACAAATGACCCCTTCCCCAGCGGGGAATAGCCACACCACAATCCCTTCTCCTCTATGCTCCTCTCAGGATTTTGGAAACACACACACACATGCCTAGTGGGTTTTTCGAGCAGCTAGGTCCAGAACAGACCACTCAGTCAGCCATGTGGAATCTAGCACCTTAACCACCACCTCCTGCTGGCCCTCAATACTATGCCATTTTATAAAATGGATTTGAGCATCTTCAGATTTTGGTAAACACAGGAGATACTGCAACCACTCCCCCATGGATATTAAGGCATAACTACAGTCTCCTCAGGAGAGACCTTGTTAAGTAGGAAAGAGACTCACTTTTCACTGTGTGCCACTTAAAGCATTCTGTATTTTAAAAAGTTGTTTTAATAAAAAGCTTTGTAAAATCTAGAAGTGGCAACAGATTAATTCCACTTTAACTATGTGGACAGTACAGTTTTCAAAGTGTTAACGGTTTGTTAAACCCTATAAAGGAAGTATCGTTATCCTTATTTACACAAGCAAAGAAAGAAGCCCTAAGATAAAGTGATCATTCAGGTTCATCGTGCTGGGGGATGTCAGGATTAGAGCCAGAACTGAATTCTGACTTCTGGACCTACATTCTTTCTAGGATTCCACACCACCTCTCTGGAAAAACTAGGGAATAACTATTTGAAAAGACATAAAGGTCACTTCTACATTCTCTTTCACATGGGGTGTCCTATAGGTTTATCTGTCAATGTGTTTTCTATTTTCACTCATTCCCAAACTGCTTATTGTTCTCTATTTTTCTAAGTTAATAGCCATTAATCATTTAACCAGCCGAATCAAAAAGATGGGAATCAGCCTCTTTTTACCACCACAATCAAACCTTATTGATCATACCTATTTTTACTCAAATCTTCATCTATCATTGCTTTTATCCAATTTCCCATTGTGGTTTGGGTTACTTCAACAGATTCCTCATTAGAGCTAGCAAGCTGTTCCTCATACTCTATCTTACCAGTCAACTCTCTAGAATAGAAATCTGATGAGATCTTTTTCTGACTTAAAACTACTTTAAAATGACCTAGAGTCTTCCAATGTAAAATCTGAACTCGTACTGAACTCGAAAACTACTGTGTTCTCAGCCTCATCTCTCATCACTATCCCTTCCTCTCTCCCTTAAGCCATCTGTAGGTCACCCATATGATGCCTACGTGCATGCCAGACGATCAGTCCTTCGAATTCTCTTTGGCCACATCTCCTGTCATTCCTCTATGTGGACCCAAACCTTCAGTCACTTTAGTCATAGTGCACTAACAGCAGTGCCACAAACAACTTGCTTCCTCTCAGTCCTCTATACCTGTGTACATTTCGGTTCCTTTGCCTGGACTGCCCATCCTTAGGCTAACTCCTTTTCCTTTCAAAGTCATCATAAAGCAAATGTGGAAGGAAGCTATCCTTGTCTCCTCCTCCATAACGAGGCAGCTCAGGCATGTATTTCTGCAGGATTCTGCTGTCTCGGTGTGACTGTGCCTGCCTGTGCCCCTCCCCCCACATAACTAAGTTTCTTGAAGGCAGAGGGTCTAAAACTGCTTCATATCCATGGCCTAGCAGAATGGCAATTATCATTACTATTTTCCAAATGGAACTGAAATTCAGAGGGCAGAGAACAGCTTGAGTTTTCAAATCAAGCCACAGATTACAGTGCAAGCTTTTAAGAAATAAAAAAACTAAACCACTACACTAATAAAAATATGCAAAACATTAAACTGAGTGGGGTACAGTATGTGTTTGAGGGCAGGTAAAAAATAGAATTGTCTCCTTATCTTCACATGTACTTTGTTATAAGGGAAAAAGTGATCTATCCTTTACTAATATAAAATTTAAGACTGCTTACTTAATGCTCTTTCTGAATTCAGTAAGTCACTGATCACATGTGCAACTACCTTGTCACTAATTACTAGTACAATAATTGACATTAAAAGACAATAAAAGTTCAGTTTCCTCCAATGGGCAGACGGCTCTATAATTTATAATTACTTAAGTTAATTATGTCATATAAGTTATCTCACATCATTTTGAAGGAAAGACAGTGGCATGCAACATAATATACTTCAGCCCAACATTCTGCCATCCAATCCAAAGTAAAATCTGCAGAACCTGGAATGCACATTATAAAGCTTCTGAAATGGTATATGTTGCCCTTTTTTCAAATAGGTAAGTCACTAGGTAATGTTTTACGTAAGAGAGAGACAATTGCTACAGGAGATAATATAAAAGCAACTAATTATCTGTTGGAATACTAAAAGCCCTTATCACAGTTTGCTAGTTACTTACTGATATTTATTTATTGTGCTGTTTTATTAATCCTTTTGCAAAATTAATCCAGTTACCACAAAAATGTTCACCAATAGACCATTAAAGCAAATGAATATTTATTTTTTAAGGACCAAAATATATAACTATAAGCAATTTCCAAATATAAAACAGGTATATACATATATTTGAAATCAGAAAGCATTATTACCAAAAGATTTCATAAATGCCTAATAAGTTACCTTGAAGTCTTTTATGTCTACACTGAGTCTTAAGTAAATTGTGAGATTCCCTTGCTATGCACATTATTCACTCAGTTTCCAAGTACTGACAAGTAAGAGTTTGTCTATTAGGTCACTGGAAAAGTCATTTTTCTGTTTTTCTATACAAAAGGCTTTGTCATGACTTTTCCAACGACCCAATAGTAAGGGATAACAAATTTGAACCTCTCTGATTCCTCAGTTTTAAGAAGCATACAGCAAGTGATTTTAGACAGAGAGGGATTAAAAAAAAAAAAAAAAAAAAAAAATTCACTGGGAGCTCTCCAAAAAGAACGATTCTGAAGAACACAGGATACCTAAGTTGTATTAACTGTATTAACAGTCTAAACAGCCTTAACCACCACATGTAGGAAGGGTGAGGGAACAGGTGTACAAAAGTCCAACTCAGTACACTGTCATAACTGTTCTCACCGTAACTCCACATCTCATTACAGTGTGTTTAGGGCCTTCCCAAGATTTAAGTAGTTCCTGTGCTTGGTAAAGGAGGCCTAGCAAAGAATGCGTGGATAATGGGAGCAAAGACAGGAAATCTGTCTGGGGCAAAAAAATAATAAAACTGGCACAGGGGATGTACAACTATGAGGACCAAAGACCTTGAGGTAGGTTTCCTGGAGCATCAGCCTTATGCCTGGGATGGTCCCCAGGAAAAGAAATAGTATAAAGACTTTACCCTCACCACCCCCGGCTGTCCACCGGTCCTGACACATTTGTAGTTAGAGGGTGGAGAGAGATGGACTTGCGCTGCCTCTCTGTTGGGCTAAGACAGAGGACCATAGGTAAAACAGAAGAGTACAAACATGTCAGGAATTACTTGTAAATGTACTTTGTAACATGTTAACATAAATGTAAAAATAGGAACAGCAAAGACTCATTATAAAGATTTAATAATTTATGATCCTTAGTAAATAAATCACAAATTGTCTTTCCTTTGAAAAATACAAAAATTGGCAACATATGAGTGACTTCAACTTTCAAAGTTGACAGATACACATTTAAAGCACCAATATTTCAATCAATACTAAAGTGTAATTAGTCTGCACATTAGAAGCTATAGGAGATAGTCTCTTTGGAGTTATTAAAAAAAAAAAAAGATTCAGATATTTAGACTCAAAGTAAATGTGGAAAAAATATACGTACTTTTTAACACAAAGTATTTTCTAATTACCTGTATGTTTTCGAAGATGCTCTTTAAAATGTCCAAAATGGTCAAACTGTTTCTCACAGTACTGACAGATATGAATTTTTTTCCCAGTTCTTTGCTTCTTACTGACTCCACCTTCTTCGAGGTGGTAACAATTTAGGTGCTGTTTCCATGCGCTCTCCCGTAGATACCTTTTATTGCATATTTCACACTTGAAACTCTCAGTTGAGTGTGATTTCATGTGTTCCTTAAAATGGTAAAACAATTTAAATGAACGGTTACATTTCTCACAATGGAACAAGTCCTTCACATGTGACAGCTGAAGTTCCACAATTTCAATACCTTCTACCTGTTTGCTTGTGGGGTCAGATGCACAGCCATCTTCTTTAATCTGCCCTTTTCTATCACCTTGACGGTACTTGCTGGTAATGTCCGCCAGCAGTGCAAGAGCGGAATCATCAGAGGAACCTGTGCTCTGAATGTACTTTATAGACTGCTTGGCAGAAGCCACTTCCTCTAATGTTTCGATGCCTTCATCTTCCACTTCAATTGTGCCTTCAGCAATCTCCACCTCAATTTCAACAGGTTCTGATTCTGCAGATGGCAATGACTCAGTGATAACATTGGAAGTTTCTGCAATCTTCCTTTTTTTTGCCTCACTTTTTCCTGTGGCATTTTCCTCTAGTGGAGCTGAGTTTTCTTTGTTCCTGAAATGTATAATATATGGATTTTTAAATAAAATATTAGTGAGCATTTTAAAGAAATTGACAGAGGTGATAAAATTTATACTGAAAGGCAGGGAACTAGATTGGAGGATTTATACTACCTGATTTCATGATTTATTATAAAGCTACAGCAATTCAGACAATACTGGTGAAAGTAGAGACGTGAATAATGGAACAGAATAAAGTCTAGAAATAGACCCACAGTTAGAGAATTAAGTTATTTTTAAAAATAGTTTCAAAATAGTTCAATAGAGGAAAGATAAATTTTCTGGCAGTGGTGCTAGAACAAGTGGTATCTGTGTGGAAGAAATAAACCTCAACCCTATATCATATGCAAAAAATTTAAATCAAAGTAGATCAGAGACTTAAATGTAAAAACTAAAACTATTACATTTTTAGAGGAAAACAGAAAATCATACTGACACTTAAGGATCTCTTAAGCAACATATAAAAAAGCAGAAGTCACAATAGCAAAACTTGCTAAAATTGATTTAATCAGAATCAAAACATCTGTCCTTTGAAATAAAATTCAAAGCCACTGACCAAGAGAAAATATATATATATATTTTTTTTTTTTTTGCTAATACCTATCTGACAAAGATCTCACATTCAGAATATAAAAATGATTCTCGTAGTTCAATAAAAGACAACTATTGGACGGGTTGGCCCCGGAGTGCAGCAGTTTACTGCTGAGAATGGAAAGCCAGACCACACCAAGCTGACTGAGGTTCAAATCCCAGCTCCAACAGCTTGAAAAACATGCTGGACATGTGTGCGCCAAATCCTGACAAGACAGAGAAGTGGGGCAAAAAGGACAGTGGTGTGAACAAGTCACACTGTGGGTGCTTCCTCTCTCTTCTGTTGAGTGCCTACAGCCTCTGGCAATTATAAAAGAATAATTAACTGTTGGGAAATGATTCTCCATGAATCTGAGTTTCTGTATATATTGTGAATTGAAAAAGCTTTTCCAGATTTTTCAAGAATGTACATAGTGTAGCATAATAGAGGAGAGGTTTATTACTGTCTAACATAATAAAGATGTTCCCCTCTGGAACAAAGAAGGCTTGTTATATTGTTTGCACCCCATTATAAAAGATTTGGGTTTCCTAAACTAGAGATTCTTCAGCTGTGATATAAATTAATCATGTGTACAGCATTCACATGGGCTACTCTGTCATCCCTTCAGAACAGGAGGGGAAGGGAAAATATGGAACTCATGATGTTTGCTATGCAGAGAGTAACAATCTTTCCTTCTGACCAAAAGCCTTGTATTCTCTACCAGCATTAATGACACTGTGGCAGGACAACTTTGCAATCAGAGATTCCAGCAGAAGGAAATTCACTCAAGCATACCAGGGGAAATTCAGGAATAGGAGGGACTCAAATTTTTATGGCTCTGTTAGAGATTAGGTGTCCAACTCATCTTTCTACCTGGTTCCATGGGGCAAGGAAGAATTTGCATTCAACTGACAGGGTTTGAGCAGTTTACAGCAGAAAGCAAGCTACCTGACTTTGTGGGAGGGCTGACTCTATTGCATGACAGACACTGTAGTAGCTTTGACATCAGAAGGTACAACAGGAGATACATTTCTAATTCCCCAACCTCGTAAGTACCAGAGAGGATCACCCCAACTTGAAAGAGCCACAGGTAGGAAGAGCTAGGAGAAGAGTGGAACAGATCCCCCTCAGGTTTGCCACTAGTCAGTGGGATCAGGATTTAGTGCAGAGTATTCTATCATCCGATGTCCAATCTATTAGCAAGTCAAAAGTCTCACTCTCAAAGGTCCTGAGTATGCACCAGATGCAGTTGGTCATCAACCCCAATAAAATTCAGGGGCTTACTCTATGTACACAGATTCCCAATGTTCAATCCCTCTGGCAGTCAAGGAAAAGTTGCTTCTTAATCACCTCTCTTCCCACCAAAAATGAGGCTCAGTCTTATACTGGACATTTTGGGTGCTGGAGCTAGTATGTGCCTCACTTGAGCATTCTACTTTCTCCTTTGTAGCAGTATCCTTTAAGTGGGGCTCCAACCAAGAGGCTGCATTGAAAGTTTTTCATCAAAATATAACACATTCTCTGCCTCTGAGGCCCCACAACAAGCCTGACTGATGTTTTACAGATTAGAACTTCTGGCAAAGGGGGGAGAGCCTCCATCCAAAGGTTATTTCTTGAGTTTTATATATGTCACCACTGACACAGTCACAAGCTACACTCTTTGAAAAAAGAAAAGATTATCTTTTTTGGGAGAGATTTTTGCTATAGGGCGCGTGCGCTCGCCAGACAGACAGAAGAGAGACATAGAGACAGAAAGCGAGAAATCACCCCCCAGGAGGGATGGTCACACCACAATCCCTTCTCCTCTTGAGAGCCTGGGCATGCACGCACACGCGCCCGGTGTGAGTTTTAAGCCACCGGGTCTGGGACGCAAACCGCGGTCAACTACGTGGGAGTCCAACAACATAGCCATTACGCTAACTGCTGGTTCCCAGAAAAGATTATCTTGTGACTGGGCTCTTGCTGAAATTAATGATGATCCATGGAGCCCTTTAAGTTCTCCAACCTGACGTTGCTATTTAGGGTGAGTCAATTCAGACTTCATGACTACTAAGGAGAGAAGTGCCCAACAAGTGTCATTTATCAAATGGAAATGGTATACATACACACACACACACACAATTTTTTTTTTTTTTTTTTTTTTTTTGCCATAGGGTGCACATGTTCATCAGAGAACAGAGGGAAAGTGATAAATCACCCACCAGTAGGGATGGCTACAATTCCTTCTCTATTCTCTTAGGATTTTAGGTATGCACTCACATGCACCTAGCATGATTTCTAAGCCATCAGTTCTGGGATTCGAACCATAGTCAGTCATGGGGAAGTCCAGTGCCTTAACCACCATGCCACCTGCTGGCGCCAGAAATGGTATATTTTAGAAAGCAGGTAGCCTCAGTTTTACATAAAAAGTGGCAGCTCCCCAACTCTACTGACCAAAGGAAAGCCAAGAGAATAATGAGCCCCTTGGTTCACAGACATTTTGGTTAAGCTGAAGCCCACTGTTCATAGCTTCAGTACCACATATGAAAACCAAAAGCAGACCTGGTTGCTCTACTCAATGGGCAGAACTTGAGGCTGTTGTCACAGCTCTGACCAACATTCCTCACAATTAATCCTGTTATATTTTTACATACTCTAAGGATGCTGCTCACAGTCTAGCTGGTTGGTTTGCCTCTTGGAAGACTCAACAGATTAAAGATACCTACACCTCTGGAGCCAAAACTGTGGGGGAAAAAAGGTGTTGCTGAACTGTCTGGGTCACTCATTTAGATGCCCATGATAAGGAACTATTTTCTAATGAGAACAAATGGAATGAATATGCTAATAACCAAGTCTGCCTTGCTCAAAGTGCCACCATTGACGGCTTAGATCCAGCAGTATTCTGGATATAGTAACATATCCACTATCACAGCTGGGCACAAAGTCAAGTCTGTATTTCTTTCTTTCTTTCTTTCTTTCTGGAAAGGTTTTTGCTATAGGATGTGTGCGCTCACCAGAAAGAGAGAGAGAGAGAGAGAAGCAGAAAGCGAGAAATCACACCACCCCCCGAGGAGGGATGACCATGCCGTAATCCCTTCTCCTCCATTCTCCTCTCGGGATCCTGGGCACTCACTCCTGGCGTGAGTTTAAGCCACTGGGTCCAGGACTTGAACTGCAGTAGACTACATGGGAGTTCAGTGACATAGCCATTACGCCAACTGCTAGTCCCCAAGAAGTCTATATTTCTGATGTAGCTGTCCACTGCTTGCCAGACACCAGTTAAAGGTGGGCCTATTTGTCTCAAGACAAAGGAGATACTTGGCACAGATGCTGTCTCTGATTATTACCTGCAGCCAGATTGCACTGGACCTTTGACCCTATCTCAGGGAAATCTGTTTGGTGGTTCAGCATTGTTAATACTTTCCTAGGTCATACTGTAGCTGTTCCAGTCTGATCAACTGGTTCTGGCCATACCACTGAGGCCCTTGAAACTACCCTATGTATATTTAGTTCCATCTGCAGTCTGATGATAGTGTACCTTTTAATCACAAAAGTTACTCAATAAATGATGAAGAGTCATGATACAGATGGACCTTTCCTGCTCTCAATGGTTCACAGCCACTGGTACTGTGGAGCACTGCAGTGGTCTTCTCAAAAACTGATTCAAAAAGATTTCTAATTCTACTTTCCTCACTGAATTCAGTTGTCCACAGAAGATCAACTCTTCTCAGATGCTTCCTGGGTAATGATGAAGACAAAATGAGTGAGAACTTACATGATCCTAATTGGAAAATTTAGGATTCTAACATTCTTGGATATGATCCCTTTTTAAATCCTCAACATTAACCCTGGGACGACCTGGGTTATTAGCACCTCTGTTCCAATTGACAACTACCCAAAAATGGGCTTAGAAAATTCAAACTTGGGACCAGCAGGTGGCATAATGGCTATGTTGCTGGACTCCCATGTAGTCAGCAGCAGTTCGAGTTCCAGACCTGGTGGCTCAAAACTCACACCAGACACATGTGTGCATGCCCTAAATCCTGAGAGGAGAATCAAGGAGAAAGGGTTGCATGGGCATCCCTGCTGGGGGGTGATTTTTCACTTTCTGTTTGTCTCTTCGGTGAGCGCACACACCCTACTATAAAAAATAAAAACTCTCTTAAAAAAATTAAAACTTAATTGTAATTCAGTTGTCTTAATTCTCTTGTTTGACTTACATCTTAAATCATAAGCCTATTGATCTCTTGGTTGAATGGCACTGCTTGCCAAGTATACTTATAGCCCATGTGAGCCAAAGTGGGATGTATAATAAATAGATATCTAAGTATTATAAAAATGCCCTTGTTCTTTTCGTACCTTACTACTCTAGATAAAAGACCTGGGGAAGAGAAGGAGATAACTGGAAAAGAGGTAAAGTTCAGCAACTGGAATAGAACGCACTG